CGTGGAAAATTTCACAGGTTTGTTGCTTGTTGGTTTGTTGTTTTGTTTTGTTTGTTGTTTTTTTAAGAATTGGATCAAGCAAACAAAAAACCTCCTCTGGAAATAAAGTATAAAAAGCATTTGGGTTAGGTCAAAACACTATTCTTTTCTTGATTTTTTTTCAAAATCTGTGCCTTATGTTTGCTAATATAAAATAGCTGAAAAATTAAGCCAACTTTGATGTGGAAACTCAGACTCTTCTGTGAAAGCCAAAAATAACGTCTTAGTGTTCTTCATCTCGCTATTGCAGAGAGAGGTCAGAAACTTGTCAACTAAATCTGCTTCTGGAAGGCTACAATTCCAATTGCCTGGATCACTCCACAGGCAAAAATACTTGGAAAATATTAGAGTGAGACTGACAGGCACCACTTTTGGTCATCAGCTCCTTGCTCCTGCTCAATGCTAGCTGGAGAGCTGCCTCCAGGAATTCATACCGCAAAGGGACTCATCCCCTCCCAGTACATGACCAACAGTTATGAAGGTTAGTGACTTCTGGATGAACTCAAACGTGTCTCTTACAATGACCTGATTTGAAGAGTTCTCCATTTGAAGAGTTCAAGCAATGGGAGAACTTACCACATGGGCTGAGCTGCTTCTGCTGTTAATGACTTCTGGGTTGGGTTGAATTTCTGTGCCTTGTTGTGTTGGAAAGACCCACTAGACCAGGTCTGAACATTTTTGGGGTTTTTTTGTTTGTTTGTTTTCCCCCTCCTTGGTCTTTTCTGCCTCTCTGCACTTTTCAATATGATTTTCAAAGAGTGACTATGTGGAGAAGAAGGATTTCTAGCAGATGTCCTGATTTAAGACTAGTTCCTTGAGATACGCATTTCCAACAGCCTTCAACAAAATGCATTTCATTTTTCTCCAGAGGAAAAAATGCCCCTTATTGGGGCAGAAGAGAACACAGGAGAGATGAAGCAATCACCTTTGTCTCTGAAGCTGTACAAGGCTGAAGAAGAGTGCTGCAATTTTCATAGATTAACTGGACCTAAGCACTAAAAGTGTTAAAATGACCCTTTCATTACACAGGGCTGGAAGGTTAAGTATGATTCAGGGGCTGTGCACAGACCCCTGCTGGCTTAATTCCATAGCAGCCCATGTATAAAGTCTTTGTAATAATTTGTTAGGGATAAATGATAGAAAAGAAAGACACCTTTCAGATACTGGTCATTTAAATTAAGAATCAAGCTTTTGAAATACCCCATGTTCTGTTTTCTGCATCTGAGAGTGTTTCAGACAGCACGAGGAAGGAATCCTGTCTCCTTTGGGCTGAACACATAGAGCATGGAAAAGGCTGGAGCTGCCAGCACTGAGAGATCTGCTGCATTTTCTGAGACAAAGCATGAGGAACATACAAGGGAGAACAGAAAATGCAACTTCTTCGCTCTTACCCACAGCCTCAGGCAGAGATGATGTAAGACTGGCTGCACTGCGTCACTTGATTGTCCTCCTGGGACCTGGTCTTCCCCTTTGCTTCCTTGTAACCCAAATTTCTTCTACCTGAGTTTTCTTGTATATTTGACACTATTTTTTCCAGCTTAGAAAAGTTGAATTTTTTTTCACCTTTCTTTCAAAAGCACTGCTCATCCTTCAAAAACATTTGCAAAATGAACTGTTTGTCTCCCTTATCATCCCATGGCAAGGGATGTCCCTGGTCATTGAAGGCAGCACTAGCCACTCACCAGCCATGTCTGAATAGTGCATGGGGCACCTCTGAGATGTGCTTGTGTATGTTTTGCACCTTGGGGCACCCCTGTGCTGGACAGAAATTGGGGAGCATCAATCTGTCAGACCAGCAGGACACGAGTGGATGGTCACAGCCCTTCTCCAAGATGGTTCCTGGTCCATAGAGTCCAGTGTGGGCTTGGGGCAATGCTCCATATAAATAACATTCTTCCCCTCCCTCATTCCTTTCACACGGGACAATCAAACAAGGAACCCAAAGCTTGGAAATAAACACCAGCACAGAAAGGAATGTTTAGCATTCAATGTATTATTCCCTTGTGTACAAAGTATTTTTCCTCTATAATAGCACACAGGTATTGAAATACGATGGCAAATGCAGCAAGAACATACAGACATATCTTACAGGTCTTTTCATTTCCTTTTGAGTATAAGCAGAAAGAAAAGAAACACTGTACAGGAAAGTGCTAGCAAAAAATACCCCAGTTTGTAGAAAAATAATGGCATCGATATACAAAACCCAGAGTTGTTTCCTGAACAAAAAATGTCTATTGTCTCTGGTTCTCAAAATCTGCTCTATTTAATGAACCCATTCATGAACTGCAGGATCAGTGCTCTGTCATTTTTTTCCCTTATAGTTTATTTCATATTTTTGTAAGTTTCTCTTGCTCTGTTAATAGCTGCTATGAAACTATATGGTAGAAATGAGTGTGTACAGGTCAAAATAATATTTCTTTTTATAAATAGCCATTCACTTCCTTAGAGAAAATATAATAAGCCTGTACTTTCTAAGCACCGTTTCTTTCTAAAGTTCATAGTGCAATTTTCCCTTTTCCCCTACAGAAGTTATACATAAGCAGTTATCATAAAAAAAAAAATCACT